AAGAGAAACAGCAAGTAGTGAATAATTGTGCGACCGCCATTTTTTTATAGTTCGACTAGAGTCGTTCGCACTTCAACTTCAGTGCGCTTGCACTAGGTACGTCATGAACCAACCACTAATAACCACTGGTCCTTGCTGGAACTTGCCCTAATGTGCTCATGTTCAAAATGACACAAACATTACAAAAGTGCCAGTGTATTTGCTGCCACCAAACATCTCATAAGTCTCCCACAGAATTGGCAGCCAAACCACCACAACCCTTTATTTCCCCTTTATAAATATTAGCGTGAAGGAAAATAATTGAAATCAAACAGTCGCAGCCGGCATGGGGAAATGACAGTATGGTACTTGGTAGAACAATGAAGATTTTGATTATTACATTTTTTACTTTGGAGGGGGAGCAGGAGGAGGTACAAGAGACATTCACACCCCGGGGGCTTGACAGGGGTGCAAATCAAATTCACATTGCACCCCTTGATTCAAACCATGGAGGGTAACATGTGAAAAAGGGTAGCAACTCCAACCAATGCTAACTTTAAGTGAGGGTTCAATGCAGGGCAATGGGGGTACGCTGGGGGTGTACCAGGGGTTCCCCAGGGATGTGCCATGGGGGTAACAGAAATGTGCCAGAGGAGCGCCAGGGGTGCGCAGGAGGTGCACCAGGGGCACAGGTGAGGAAATCACTACTGTGACTAATCCAAGACTCATCAGAATGTGATAAACGGGGAAGGAAGCGGCCCGGAGGGTGTTGAAAGAGGGGAACAAATGCTGTGCATTCACCTCATCCAAGTGAAATCACAAAAGGAAAGTTCATCCTCGGCTACATTAAAGGTTTGCAGAAAAAGAGAAATGGCATCATGCAAACCAAAAAGAAAATAACTTTTTGCATCCCACTGTTCTACAAAGACGTTACTTCTGGCTGCCCTTCATTCATTATTTTCCCATCTCTCCCAGTGGCGCACCTGAGGGGGGGGGGGGGGGGAGGCCTCGGGGGGCTTGAGCTGCCCACCCCAAGAGGTTGTAATTTTTTTTTTTTGGTAATTTCTTTTTTAGTCCCACGATTTGACCTTGGTGATATGTTTGTGCCTATTTTTGAGTAGTATAATAGGGGTTCAAGTGGCACCACCAATGCCAGATTCTAAAAAAATTTGAAAAGAAAAAACATTGTGAGCCCCCCCCCCCCCCCATCAGCCAAATCCTGGGTGCGCCACTGATCTTTCGCCAACCAACAGCAACTGAATCAATTCTGACAACTCCACAGGATGGGACCTACTTCCGTCCTTACAGATTAACTGGAATGATCATGTCAAGTCCCCACTCACATTTAATTTGTTTTCCTGCTAAAGACTCAACACATTTTCAGTTCCAGGGATAGAGCTCCAGTTCTACGACTTTTGAAGTTGGCACTGTCATGAACCCCCGAATGTGGAAGTTGTGTCCGGTTCCAATAATGTGCTGTCAGACGAAATCCAGAGACGTTGAATGTGCTTCCTGATCCTGTATCCCCCCACTCTGTAGCAACTCCTTCATATTAAAGTCTGTATTGTCCTATTTCCTTTTCTTCCTTTGCTGGCAGCAAGGCTGTCTACGACGTAGTTCCCAGGTCACAGGGGTTAAGGCAGTCCCCAAGGAGAGGAACCACCAATGTCTACTTTGATTTCCCGAGGCCTCGGTGCGATGGAGTCGACGAGGGAATGTTACCGGACGACCCTGAAGGCCTGTACGTGCAGCAGCCTGATGGATTTCAACTGATAAATTACATCTATTCCTGTGACATCACGCCGCCTTTTCTTGAATTGTATATTTCAGGTTGTCTCAATGACCTCGGAAACGACCTCAGCAAAAACAATTTTTGATCGGGTCTTTTTAGAAGTATCACTCATCAAGATTTCTGAACCCCCCTTCACCCCTACCTACATGCTTATCAATGGAAATGGCCTAAGCCCCAATTAATTTGGAGATCTGGCTGCATAATTGGGCTGATTACAAGCAGGTCTAGGGCCTTCTTGCGCTCTGCATTGTGAACTGGTGATGTAAGAAAAGAATAAAAAGTCAAAAGGATGATGTTCACATGTATGCACTACCCTGGCCCTGTGCGACCCTTCCATGACTGCTTAGTAAAGTCTATACGTAGTGGACTATCCAAAGAGTAACTCATGTGATAGTCAATTGCGCATGCGCATCTACCGTGTGCGTGAATCTTCGCATGCACGCTTGGTAAAAGTAGCAAAGCGACTGGCCGACATGTGATGGTGAATGGATCGGTAAGAATTCGTCTCTCGCTCATGAATATGTATGAGGCATAGTTATACAGAATTGGGCCAAACAAGCTGGCTCCCGACATTGAAGGGAAAAATATTTAAAGACATAGTCCATTATTTGTAATTTGTGCATTTTGTTCGTTTGAAGCAACAAAAGTGTTCAAAATCTAATGAAGGATACTGAACAACTAACATGATGAAGTTTCAGCTAAGCTTCAGCTGTATATTCCGAAAAAACCAGCATTCTAGGATCTCAATTTCAAATCAAAAGTTACTGAATCCTGTTCTGAATTGTTTTGAATTGCAGCTATATGCGTCATCGCGCACTGATCCGACGAATTATAGCAACCGCGCGCGCGTGTGGGTCGTGCCAATGCTTGTGCGCGCCGCCGAATAACAAAACGAACTACTAATTTAAATTTTCCTACGGTGCGTCTTAAGACGCACCGTTGGAAAGGCCTTCTTTCGTTGATTACTTCAAAATGACATCTTGCCAGAAAGAATAATTTCACAGGGAGTTTAGTCCCCTTACTATCTTTCAACCAAGTCTGTTTTTCAACAATAATTACGCCAGTTACTTTTCGGATGGCTACAAATGATGGACTATAGCTTTAATGCACCAAACCTGTATTACAGACTGTAAGGGGAAGAGATGGTGGGGGGGGGGGGGTGGGTGGGTGGTTACAAAACTTTTGAGGTTCACTGAAGCTCATCAAAAACTTTGCTTGTGTACCTTTATGCTTGGTTGCATTATCCTGCAAAAGTTGCTCAGGAAACTCCCAATGGAAAATCAGTAGAAGTAAAAACTCTATTAAGCATGAAGTGTTTCCTGTGGGAGGAGAACAACGCCTTTTTTTCCTACAGACCACATGCGGTTTTTATTTCTTGCACTTTACAATTCCTCCGAACGCAACTCTTGGGATTGGACTGGGAATTAATGATTGAGTCTTCACATAAGACATTTTTGTAACTTCTTGCTGTGAGTAGGTGGTTTTTAGTCCCCAAGAATTGCTCTGAACACACATGTACATACATTTGTCACGTTTCCCCCCCAAAAAACGAACCCTCAAAGCACCCCCTTTATCACAGCTTTGCCAATATACATCAGAAATATTTATACATATTTGAAAAGTACAGTTCATCAGTTTGTCTGCCAATAGGGGCCAAGGCCCCCCCCCCCCATTTTAATTTTTTTTTTATATTTGTTCTATTTTCCGGAAACCCACAACAGGCAGGCACTAAAAAACCTAAAGCACAGGTTGGCATGGGTGCGATTCAAAGCTGGTTCGTTAATGCGCAAATAGCGGAAAGGAGCAAAGCAACAACCTGATGTGAAAAAGTAACTAAAGCAAGTGAAATCAAAAGATATCTGTAACTAAATTGTGGGATCATCAGAGCACGTATCTAACTCATTGGTGTACAGGCAACCGCCAACGCCACTTAGAACTGCTACATGCTACAGCAAAAGCAGTATTCAAGATACAAGTACCAATGGATTCAATTCAAGAATAAAGGGAAATAGTCAACGATAAAAAGTTTTGTTCCACAGTGTAGCCATTTTTGATAGTATTGTTTCTACACATGTTTCTTAAGTGAATTGTAACCTTGGTGATATGTATGTGGCCTATTTTCGAGTAGTATCATAGGGGGGTAAGTGGTGCCACCAACTTCAAAATAGTCCACCACCCCCCCAAAACAAATTAAAAAAAATAAAAAACTATAAAACATAAAATATAAAACAATTGTGAGCCTCCCCCCCCCTCAAAAAAACAAATCCTGGGTGGGCCACTGATTCCTAGTTGGTGTCAATTTCGTGGTCACTGCTCAAGCCTCATTGAAATTGTATCCTTTCTTGCGCATTCAGGTATGGGACCTGACTCACCGACGCTGGACCCAAATATGCCACATTTGATTACCTTTGTTCGGTTCAAAACCTTAAATGTGCACTTCCCTCTTCGAACAGAAACATCTTTTTCCGTAAAGTCTGTAGAGGATATACCAAATGGCCGGTCCCGGTGTCTGAAAAGCCACAGTGTCAACATGCTGACAAAAATGTGTTTGATTTCCTTTGCTTAAGTAGCGTCGACCACTAGATGTCCACTTTGGTGATACGACGCGACATCAATTAGCCAATGGGGCTTTGGGAACAACCATCAGTCACTTTAAGTTGAGACCAGGGCCCACTTCCATGGCTCCGCATTTAATTGAAAAAAAATCCAGGTTACTGTAGCAAAAAAGTCTATGCTTACCGTTAAGCACATTTGACAGGTTAGCTAGAAGTTGCGACTTGTGCGCATGTGGGAGAAATCTGGTTATCCTTTAAGCCAAAAAAAAAAAGGTTCCGGTTTCTGGTCTGCGCGCATGTCGATGTAGCCATGCGCGTTGGCAAAATTAAAAGGTTTTTTTTTTTCAATGTAAGATGATGTCTCAAAACCGCCAAACTCACTGGTTTGACTGGAATCCTGCTGCTCCACAATTTTAACATGTTTTTAGATGGGGTTACGATCGAGTATAAGCTTTATGCGGCCTCTCTGGGCTCCCATACATTTTGCACTAGATTTAGTCTGGCACCATTTGCAGTCATCAGCCGACATTTGAAAAAAAAAGAAAAAAAAAGCCGCATCACCGCACCACTTTTGGGGCGAGCTCCATACCAGAAACTGGAGAATTTTGGGGGGGAATTATTGAGGTTTCCAAACAAATATTTTGGCAACAATTCAAAAAATGAAATCGACAAACCTCTTCCCAACTTCTGGAGTCTCCATTCAGAGAAACACACCACATGTCATTCAACCTAAAAAAAATACCAATGGAAAAAAAGAAAAACAATTCTTTACCTTGATAAATTACGGAAGCTTAAAGTGACTAACCATGTTTCCATGATAAAGGACATTTAGCTACTGAGGGCAGTATTCAGTAGTTTGAGTTATTACCTGTTGTGCAACAGCGCCCTCTCTGTACTGTGACCAACGTCTGATATGTGTGAGCAATGCAAATTTGAATGCAATCCTGCGCGCCAGCCAAGGCCAAGTTCGCGCAAGGACTATAGTTGACCAATGGTTAATCATAGTTCGACTAACACTTGCCTGAACTCTGTCTAGTCGACGGTGGTTGACTACGCTAGTCGACTATTTGGAACCAACCTACTGGGGCTGGTTGCATTGCTGGGAACCAATAGCCGCGCGCATTCATAACGCTAGCAGAGAGCCAGGATCCAGAAGTTTTGCGTTGACATTTTGACCAGAGTTTGACCAGAGACGTTCGCACGTTGCTATCAGTGCGCAGGCGTAAGGTACGTCACAAATCACCCATTAGTCGACCAATGGTCCTTGCCCGAACTTGGCCCAACCTTTAGAAATTGTGACGTGGTTTTGATCAGAAATGTGGACCAAGCTGTCGATTGGTCAATTGGCTGTCATGTTTTTGTAATACAAGGAGGGGTTAGGGAAGACCCTTTAGAAGGTGCCAGCTGAATGGTCAGAATCTGGAGATCAAGACACCGTCTTCTTTTGCATAATTAATCGCCATATATGTGCAAATATCATAGACGCTTTTAGGTGCAAGCGGCTATTTCATAGACTAGGGGGCTGGTTTTTTTTTTTTTTAATGTTCTGAGAAAGTCGCCCAAAGTTTTTGATTGTTTTTAAAAATGTTTATTAAAAGTTCATTTCCTATATAATAAAGGGCAAAATGTCAAGCCCCCTTCCAGGCCCCGTTGGTAGTCTGAGTATCATCTGTTCTCAACAGAGCCCATCTCCGGTAGAACATCTGGTATAGCATGCATGACGTCATTTCATTCCAAAATCCGGAAAGAGTTTGATTGGTCAATTTCGATGCCACGTTTTTGTAATGTAACAGCTTGTACAAAAATGCTACTCATTGCGGGGCTGATATTTACGCACACGGTGAGCTCGCATTAGACGTGTATAGAAGGCGCCCGCTGATTGGTCAGTTTTTCAAGGTCATACGTAGTCTAGTTGCATAATTAATCGCCAAATCTGCCTGCATATCATGGCCGGCTTGGCCAGGGTTGGGGTCTATTACACAGGCTTGGAACTTAGAAAAAAATGAGGAAACTCCAAACCACACAAGACTTTGTACCGTATTTTTTAAATTTGTAATGGCATTCATGAGAAGTAAAAAATGAAGAAATCAGCGGATCTGAGGAAAAGTTGCAGGCCTGATTACATAGACTACCCAGTTGGGTGCCCCAATGCTGATTTCAGCCGATTGAGAAAACTTACTGAGTAATATTTTGTGCTGGGGATCGATCACTGTTCCTAATTATGTGAAGTCAAACACTGATTTGCCTTTTCCTTTGGCCAGACGATAGATCTATTAATTATCATGTGTCATATCAGCCAAAATATTTTCGCGGGATGTTTCTGGATGGCGGACATGAATAATACAAGTGACAGAAGGCAGTGATGTAGTTCTCTGCACTCAAATCATGACAGGGGCACGCTTTCACGACCATAACCAAAAAATATTTGTGATGTGAAATTGATGATCGGTCACAACGTTTTCAAGCACTTGACCTAAAACGGGATGACTAACGATCTACTTCTGATGCTTGTGACAACTTTGATATGACTCAATCTTCTCTAGATCCATACAAGGGAAAAAGAATGAAAAATACACTGCGTCCAATGAGGTACGAAATGGATTTTTAAAAAAATACTACAAAAATAGAATCCTGAATTTCTACCTGGCGTTTCCATCGTAACCAGCAAAGATCCACAGTTTTCCATCGTAAACGGCCGCACCGTGAGCAGATCTGGCTGGAGGGAGTCTGCGAAATCAAAGTAAAAAGAAAAAAAGAAAATTAAAGCAGGAGGGAAAAATGAGACAGTTTTAAGGGGGCCCAGAGAAGATTTTTACACTGAAATAATCATACTTAATAATAATTTGGGAGGCTAATCGCCCTTACTGGCAGCTGAGAAGCTGAATTGCAAAGGGTCGACGCGGCTACAATGTGGTCGGGCCGCTGGCACGTAAAGGCGCCTATGGCTGCCGGCCCCATCGACCCATATATGACCACGGAGCACGGCCTGAGATCAAAAGTGTTTGATTTTTGCAGAGGGAGGAAAACCGTTGGCACGGAAAAAAAACTTTGTGGCACAGGAGAGAACCAAGGCACACCTCTACTCATGTATGGCTTGTATGGTCCGCGGCTGGGATTCGAACCAGGGCCACAGTGGTGAGAGGTGAGCACTATACGCACAAGGCACCCACTGTTTGTTTCTTGAACCTCTGTCATTTTGCCTCTGAAGAAGATCATGTTAAGTTTGCAACGTCGGGCCGTCTTAATTTTTTTGATTTGTATATTTCGGGTCAATCCAGTCAGAAAGCAGTTTGCATCACTTTTCCTCATTTTCATGAAATACACACTGTGAAAATAAGTATTTACGCGTCTGAACTGCATTTAGTACACACAATTACTATTATTATTTTGTTTTTAAGTTGAACAAAGAAATTAACTTATTGCGGTAGAATTGACGTATCGCGGTAGAATCGCATTGGAATCGCGTCAACGCAGCTTGTGAAATATTGTCCAATTACATGATATGCAAATGGACGCGGAACGAGCAACATCTGAGACAAATGAAACTTAGCGTACAAAAATCCCATAGGGTTGTCTAAGGGGTGTGGCTAACTCGCTAACAGCGATAGGTCAATTGCGTCAACGCAGCTTATGAAAAATTGTCCAATTACATGATATACAAATGGACGCTTAACGCGCAAAATGTGAGACAAACAAAACTTAACGAACAAAATTCCATATGGTTGTCTGAGGGGCGTGGCTAACTGGCAAACGGTGATAGGTCAATTGACTGGAGCGGTATTTGAACCTGCCACTTCAGATTGCCGTTCCGGTGCTCTATCAACTGAGCTATCCAGACAAGCGCTTTTCAACCTTCATCTTATAACACGTGCCTGCAGAAGGAATAGCGAGTGCATAATATATAGACCGTGGTATATGGGAAAATATACAACAGACTGTTGCCATTCATTGACCAATCAGGATCGAGGATTCAAGTTTGCTTGAAGATAAGTGATGTTACTGGAGTAATTTTAACATCAAATCTAGCTTTGCAAATATTTCTGTATAAAGTCCGCCTATTTTTCTCAAAATCGTTCAGAAACAATTTCCCAATGCCAAAAAGGTCCGTTGATGAAGATGCTCTCAAAGGTTTCAAAATAGCACCAAATCTGCAGGCATGGGACAATCCACACTACTGGCCACCCAGCCTCGTGGCACGGTGAGCCAAGATGAAGGAACCGCTATCTGTATCAAGTCTGACATGTTTGTCAGAGGGACTCGTAGTAAGCTTACAAAATCAGATTGGTGTATACATCGCCACATAATTGGCCACTAGTTTTCCTCTCGGTTCACCTGTGCCACATGTACACCTGCCGGTGCTAATATCTGCCCCTCCATCGCCTCCTGTTTACCACGACCCCCTCTGACAAACATGTCAGACTTGATATGGAAAGCAGTACCTTGATCTTGGCCCACAGATGAGCTAGAGGAAAAGTAGCGGCCAATTTTGTGGCGAGTGATACCTGTATACACCAATCTGATTTTGAAATTGCTTTGAGGTTCTGGAAGCCATTACTTGGACGCTTATACCAAACACCCAAATATTTGATCAACAACCGAATATTCAAATAGCTTTTTGCCGGTCTGAATATTTCATACTTGAAAACACAAAATTAGCACACACACGACCGTGATATTATGTTATAGTAAAATGTGGCGCTTTATTGTCAGGTGCCACTTTTTGTCGACGGTAACTTTTTTGTCGACGGCGGTTCATTGTTCACATCCTTTCAGCAGGTTACAGCCTTTTACAGTTATAAAATACTGCAAAACACTCCAGGCTCCGGTATCAATCGCTCACGCACATTTTAACTGGCGTGCTCTTCCTGCAACTTTTTACCCGAGCAGTTGCAGCTGGCAATTCGGCGATTCACAATGCAGTGGGCCACCAAGAGTTTGCGCATGCGTGCGTACTACCTGAGCATAACTCTCGCGAGCCTGGTGCCACCTCAGAAAATGGCTATTGCTGAACTATTCTATAGAAAAGACATACGTGTACTCAGAGATTGAGAAACCATTTCAAGAATGGTTTGCTTAATGGTCAGTAAAAGTTCAACTTGAGGATAGAATATCAGTGAAGCTGGAAATTTAATTTACAATCACCTGACTGGCTTGCATAAAAAAAAAGCACTGTACATTGTCCATGCCTCATTATGCTTGAATATGGGTTACAACCTACAGGAAGGAAAGGAAATTAATCTTTCAAATCAGTTTTACAGGCACTTGCTGAAAATAATGCAACCTCACAGGAAACAGTTAGAAGAATCAATTAGGCCGGTGATTAGGCACAACACAGAAATGGTTGAAAGATATACAAAGTACGTGAAAAATTACGCTACCCCCTCTAAAAACTGTAGCTATAAGTTTTTTTAACCCTAACATACCTGAATCCATCAAAATCCACACCTGTTTTGAAGGATTTCGGCAGATTCAGAATACCTCCATATTGAAAAAGTTGGGGGATTTCGATGGATTCAGGACAGTAAGCCTAGTGGTACTGCAGGATTTTAATGGATTCAGGATACCTCCATATTGAGCAGGTGGGGGACTTTGATGGATTCAGGATCTCAACAGTTCAACTCTGTGGCTATGTTTGGTGTGTACGAGGTAAATTTACTACACTGGTGGATTCTGTTGTGCTCACTGGTGCATTCTGGAGGACACCAGCATTTTTTGCATGACAAAATAGGTGGATAGGCAGATTCAGGATACTTTCTAGTAAAAGCGCTCAATGGGTTAGGGTTAAACTAAAACAATAAAAGGCCTTGCATGTTAGATCTGAACCAATTTGAATAATTCAATATTCAGACATTTAAAATTTCCATTTTATTAAATATATTTAGGTAAAAAAAAAAGGCAGTTTTATAAATAAACTAAATTGAATGTTATAATAATAACACTTATTTCTATTTTTTTTTTTTTAACTAACAACCACCACTGGTAGCAAGACATGATTAATGTAAAGGTCTCAACAAATAAGAAGGAAAAATTGTATCAAAAAGAGTGTTTTTTCCCTCATTTGTGACATGATACAAATGTATGTCAAAATCAGGCACTTTTAAGCAAGAAGTCAATTTTGAGTTATTGCAATATCAGTAAAATATAGACCTTGCTCTTTCAAACGCCACTTTGTTTTTTTAAATTGGATATTCCAAAGCAAATTTATTAAATTTGAAATCGGATTGTCCAAAATATCATACAAATTTTGCATAATTTTAGAACAAAAACTTGAACAAAGTGTCATTCTGTGAAATGACATGCCTCTCTAAAAGTGTTAAAAAAAATACTTTGTCAGTGAAATTTCAGTTTGAAACTTTTACAGAACATTTCAAACATAAGTAGCATCACAAAATAAAAAAAAATCCTCAAAATCACTGAAAATCGCCCCCCATGTCATTCTGCAGCTGTTTCTTCATTCATGGCTCTGCCCAATTCTGCCTATTTTTGACTTGCCACATCAAATTTGTCTCTTATAAGAAATCAAAACCGTAAAAAATTTGCTTACCACATTGAGTGAATTAAAATACGCAGGTTGTAAAATTGATTTATTGAGTCAAGCAGAATCCTAATTGAGTAATAAAATGCAGTATACTGACTAGCGCACCTTGATCAAAGACATTGACAAAATGGGGGACCACCAACATAGGGCTGGATAGCTCAGTTGGTAGAGCACCGGAACGGCAATCCGGAGGTAACAGGTTCAAACCCCTCTCCAGTCAATTCCTTTTTTCAACTTCGAAAACAATATTCTGTTATAGGTACGTCCCTCCCCCCCCCAAAAAAAGGTTCCAAGCTTATTTGTAGTAACACGGTCGTTAAATCTGGGCTCCGTCTTGATCCAATTTGTGCAAACCGATAGCCAGAAGGCCTGCCGGCAATAAATCCAAATTAGAAGGACGTACTTCGTTAGAACCAGGTACATGTACTGCTGACCGTATACAGACGGACTGTGCATACGGGTTTCAAACGGGCCCTTGGTCTTACATGGGCATGACGGATGCTTTGAATAATGCCACTTCCAGGGTGGGAAGTGCCCAGTCGGGCACTGCTGCTTTCACGGAACTCTGTGGAACTGGTTGATATAATGTTTCAATTTTTTGTTGAAGTAACTGGCTTTGAACAAAATGGGTCAGCATCCCAAAATTGGAAGTTAAAGGGAAAATACAACATTTGCAAACATCGAAAAATAACTACCAAGTTGTTACGAAATACCTTACTAGGATGTTGGTAAATGACAGTCTGAAGCATCCTGTAAAATTATGGAACCTGGTGTGAAATCATTTTCAAGAAAAATTGTAGTTTTGTATACATTTCCAACAGTGGTCGGCCGACCACTGTTGGAAAAAGCTAACTATTTTTCAACCACTGCTCCAAATTTACCATTTTTTTTCCAGTCCAAATTTTGTTTGCTATTGGTTCCATGTTCATGAACGGGTGCAGGCCAGCTAGACTGGTTCCCTTACCTAACAATTTTTTGGCATTTTTGATCCATTTCATCTTTAGTGCAGTCAGGAACCAGACTACCTGAACATTTGTGTTTTTCTTGGTTTTTCCAGCATTTTCGAACGCAAAACTTCAAACATGTCAGTGTAACAATATTTGATCTATTATAACCCCCCAAATAATTCTTTTCTGAAAATTACAGCAAAAGCCAATGATGTACATGTACATTCCTTTTAAGTTTTGACTTTTCACTTCAGCTCATTTTGCTACAAAACTTTTTTCACTTGAAAAGTTATAGTTCTGTGTAAACTGAGGGCAGCGACCAAGTCCCAAAATGGTGTAGCATAGGTGCTACGCCCTCGCATTGTCTCGCATCGCATCGCATAAAAAAAATCATTTACATTCACTCTGGTGTTTAAGTCTAGCTTTTGAGTTTTTAATTAAGCCGTACATACATGTTAAATGCAACAGTGTTTCTGGATTTTCTAAAAGATTTGAAATAAGCCTAAAATCCAGTTCATACTTCCTGCGAATGCGCGTGTGAATCAAATTTGACGCCATGAAACATTCACTGAGAAATTCGCCAGAGTTAAAACATGTAACTTTTACGGATTCACAGTGCAAATACTTTCACTGCAGACCGATACAAATCTTATTGCCAAACCAACAGAAATTTATTTTGTTGGCTTATTTTTTGTAGTTTGGTCCCTTAACTTCTGTGAGAAAAACAAAAACACCCTCAATGCTATGACTTTATAGAATAACAGCAGAGTTGACAGAAGATGTCCCGTTACACGTAACGCAAGTTACCACGGAATTACCCGAAATGTACATGCATTCCAGACAATTTTTGGCGAACATTCCTGTGTTTACCTTCCTTCAAACTTCCACTCCACCCACTGTCCGTTAGAGAGTTTGTACTCAAACAAGTCATTCTTGTTCTGCAGGTTGGAGTTTGAATAGATGTCGCCAGTATAGCCACCTATCCACACAAAGATGTAAACAGAAAAGGAATCACAGTTAAAAAAAAAAATGTACATCCCATTTCAGCAACAGTTCCGGGTATGTGTTTTATGGTTGTAGCTGGTATATTTTTTTGCCAATTGATGAAAATTAAAAAACGAAAAAAACACAGAAACCCCAGGATAGGGGTGTTTAGTATTCTTCTTTAATTAAGGAAACCAACTTTTAAAACCTGCAATCTGTCATGCTCATATTTACATCAGCATTAAAGACATATAGGATCATTTGCTTTTCATGCATTTTGTTTGTATAATGATAACACCTCTCAAAATATAAAAAGGAATGTTCAAAACCTGACCTTTTGAGTTTCAGCTCGTCGAATATTACACTTTTCGAGAAAATAGTAAAAAAAAATATGCACATTGCACAACCTTTTGATCACAAAACACGTTCGTTCAAAGTTTTTTTATTCCAAAAATCTGTCAATTGACTGATTGCCGGAAATCACCGAACATTGGAAATGACCATCGCCTTCGGCTTGGGCTATTTTCCGCACCCAGGCCCCTGGCCCGTTTTAAATGTTCTTGTTTAAAACTGGCCAAGCACATATTCATTTCTTTAATATAGAGCGCAGAATGCTTTTTTTATTTTAACCAAAACTTTAATCCAAGTAAGCTTGTTGATAGTAATTTGGTAGGTTTCTTTTAGGAGAAATGCAAATAGTCCTAAATTACTTTAATACAAAGCATGTGTTTCATGAAATTTTGATGTGACACAAGATTGTATCACAGTAAAATTATGGATACCCCTTTGGATGTGTGTAGAGCGGATTGTATTCCGCCTGTGCGACTGTTGATGGTCACGCATGGAGTTAAGTTCTTGCATGGTTGATATTTAGATAATTTACTGAGAAAATGAATATGATGGGGGCACTGGTCCGAAAACAGTGTCAATTTTGCAATTATATGGGGTCAGAGAGTGGCCGGGGTGTCGTTGTCCCCTGGTTGTCCCTATGAACTCGAGTGCAGGTTAACTTAAAGGGACCGCAACATGAATTTCACTTGGGAACATATTTTGTCATGTACTGAAACAGGTCCCCGTTTTGTGCACATTGGGAACAAAAATAATAGTGCGTACTTTGCGGGCTTACTTCACGTGCTACTGAGTGACCTCTGCAAGAAATTCAGTTATTGGAGGAAAACTTTGACCAAAAAATTATCACTGGGTTTGTAACCAATCAAAATGAGCTTTACATGAATCGAAAGAGAATTTGATCCTCTTTACAAAACCGCTTCCCAAACTATGCTTCCACCTTGGGTTGTCGAGATATGTTGAGATAAAGAACCAGAGGTCTCTCAAAAATTGTCATTTTCTCTCCATACACAATTGTCATAGACCCGACCATTTTTAAGAAGAAAAAAAAATGATCAAAGGTTTTTTTGCTTTTCCAAGCAAAACATAAAACAAACTAAAAGCCAGAAGAACGAACTTTAATAATCTGCTACCCCCAGATTCGTGCAAAGGTCCGTTCTGAAAATACAGGGGTTTTTATAGTGAAAAAATTGTCTCTCCTCTGGGCTGTTTCCCACGTTAAAGTTTGTGTGGAAATTTCCGGTTGAGCAGATGCGGGCTACTTTTCATTATGATACATGTAGGCATACACCACGAACCATCCCAGCACTTCATGGTTTAATGGATTCATCATGGAGTACTATGTAATACGATGCTTACCAGTATTAAGCTAAAGAATTGTTGAAGACAATTGACCTATCGCGGTAGAATCGCGTTAGAATCGCGTTAGAATCGCGTCAACGCAGCTTGTGAAATATTGTCCAATTACAGTCAACTCTCGTTAGTACAAACACAATTAATAAAAATTCTGGTTATAGCAAACACAAAGCCTTGGTCCTGACTCTGCATTTCTGATGATCCTCTTAATACACAATTCTGATATAACAAACAATTTGGCTAGGTCCTAACGAGTTTGTATTAACGAGAGTCGACTGTACATGATATACAAATGGACGCGGAACGCACACAATCTGAGACGAACAAATTCCATAGGGTTGTCTAAGGGGCGTGGCTAACTCGCAAACGGCGATAGGTCAATTATGGACCAGCCCCCTTCCCCATATAAAAGTGGGTTTAGAAACCAAGTGCAACAATTCTTCCATTACAAGCAGAAATGTTGTTGCATTCGTTTCCAATTGAAAAAAAAAACTCCTTGGAATTCCGCCAGATGGATTTCAACGACGACTGCCATGATAGAAATGGATGGTAATCTGTCGGCAGCTCAAGTCCAATTGCTCAGTGAATATTGAGCAATCATTAGATGATGTAGTAGGTCAAGTTCCTTAATGCTTATACCACGTTTGCTCCGCTGTACCCAACAGCGACCTTTTGACCTTTTGGACCAATGGACAAGCAACAACCCTGGACAAGTGAAAATACAGATGTGCAGAGTCACGCTAGAAATTCAACCACGATGTTGGGAAATTTATTATGAATTTTTGCTGTAATTTTGATAAATTGACCCTTACTCTACCAAGACCCTTAACTACATGTAGGATGAGGATTTCAGGGTGTTATTGAAAGGTAGAGCTCAGCCACTTTTACTTTGGGGCTTGAATGCCCCCTGACAGTTGAAGTGCAAAAAATCTGCCATTGGTTTACTACAATGTGGTGAATTAGTAGATTTACCCTCCCAGTCCCTTGCAATTCAAACCCTTCTGTTATGCCTAAACACATATGCCCATAGAGTTAGCACCTACACTTCAAATTCCTCTGAGGTAATCTTCTGTGGAGTATGGATAACACTTCAAATCCCTGCACAATTTGTGTGGTTAAGGTCAGGGCAAGCAGATGGATTCGGTCTGACACAGCTTCTGCTCTCCACAAGGCTGTTATTTTTTGTGCTGTGACTTTCTGTGACACACTTACTTTAACCCTTCTTAACACTTCATAGTCCTTGATCTGAAGAGGTGTAAAAGGTTTTACCATATTGCTCTGAATACCGACTTCAGACTCAGAGGGTTAAGGAAAGTTTTTTTCCAAATAAACTCAACCTTCTGCCAAAGATGACATCTCTGTTTTGGCTATAAATATGCAAATTTGAATTTACTTTGAAAAGGCACTGAACAGGTATGCAACTGGGAATTTAGAAAAAACGAGGAAAATCCAAACCACACAAGACTTTGTACAGTCTTTTTTCAATTTGTAATGGCATTCATGAGACGTAAAAAAACAAGGAAATCAGTGGATCCGAGGAAAATTTGTATGCCTGACTGAAACACCCCTAAACGGTGAAACAGCGACTGAAAATGTTGACAGTTAGACAGGCAGCATTCCTTTAAACAACAGCTTCATCAACAAAATACAGAAATGGAAACAAGGGAACACCCCCGGAACTTCATCATCATAAGGAAACCCTGCCCAGAACATGGATTTTTTTTAATCAGAGAACAGGCTAAAGCAAGCTGAGGTAAGACCCCATTAGGTAAAATCAGAGCTGTCAGCGCGGCTTGGCAAATATCTCCCTGTCTCACTTTTTCTTAAAGGTCAGCACTCGCAGACGTTTTTCCATCTCGCAACCTGCCACAAGGATTTATCATTTCTGTTCACCCTCCCTCTCTCCCCCTCTCTCTCTATCTCTGCAGAGAGACAAGTGATTGCACGTGGGCTTCTTGAAATCCAAAACCTAGCGAGCAATCTTCTGATTGCGGTTTGGGAGGCCAACGTTGGGTTTCTTGTGGATAGGGTTGGGAAATCGGTAGATGGAAAGTTTGCTTAAAAATAACTGGTTTCCGTTTAAAATTTCATTTGTTTTATAGCATAAAATTTAATTTTTGAGTTGGTATTATTTGAAAAAAAAATTATGCCTCAAATCTCAACTGAAAATTGCCTTTTTTATCAGCAAGATTCAACGCCTGGATCATCCTGCTTATGACACCAGATTTCTCGGTCAAACATTTCAGTCATATTTTTTATGTTGAGATTGAGAGTTAAAGGTATCAGGCTGGCCTCACATCATCCTGCAATTTTGGTTGCACCGCGACGAACTAGCATTAGTCAAGGCGCTCGTCGATAGTGTCCGTGACGGTAACTGGCCGCTATAAATATTAGCTGCGTGTTTTGCTGGGTGCAAGAACGAACGTTCATTCTTCACCAACTGATTTGCTTATTTTAACCATGTGAGGCCCTGTTCACACAGTGCTTAGTGTGCAGCTAGAATTTTTTTTTTTTTTAGCGGGCAAATACCATCATGGAGACTATCGACGAACTCCTTCACAAAGGCAAGTTCCTTTCGCGGCGCAAGCAAATCACAGGTCGACCTGAGGCTAGCCTTAGGCTTCTCTTGATATGTTGATTCTAAATGTGACCAACTGAAGACATTTTCCTGCTTATTAGATTTTCACATGAAGTACAAGTAGAATACTCGGCACTTAAATTTAATATTTGCATGTGTGTGTGTGAAAATGTGTGACTGTTCTGTTTTGCAAGATTTATAAAAGACACAATGCTAGCGATATTAGCAATCCTGCAAACCGGGAAAAATGTCAACCGGGGATTGCTCAGAGATGATAGGACATTATAGGACACAGAACAGAAAAGCACAAATCATCTCATGTGCATGCCCGTCTAAAAATGTACATCCTTGGGAAGACCTTGCCTAGTCGGAAGTTGAGGCCGCAGCCAGACACCCCCAAAAGCCAGACACCCACCAATAAATTGTCTCGTTCATATATATTTAAACCTTGCTGTCTATAATTAGCCAGTTGGGAAGGAGGGGGGGGGGGTGGTGATGAGACTCCTTGGAGGACAGGAATACGAATGGGAAGATGATACGAGTCCCTGTCTTCCGTTTATTAGGGACAGAGGTGATGACTTGCGAGAGTCATCCTTCCTTCGTCGCATTCCTCCATCCATGGAGTTTGTCTCGAGGGGATAGACAGTACCTTGTCTTTCAGTCTGGCTGCAGGTCTTTCAAGGAAGTTTTTTTTTATACTCTGGCTGGGTATTAGAAACACATCCCTTGAGGTCTTGGGCCAATGTTAAGAAGGAGCGGTGCTCAGGAAACAGGCAACCAAGGAAAATTGTTGTGTAAATTATAGTTCTTGTGGCTGTTGTTTTAGCTGGCTTTTGCTCAACACAAAACCTTTCTGAGCAATATTTTCCAAAATGCTCCTTTACAAATTTGGACCCTACTCTTATCAGAAGATGTATCATGAGGGGAGGGTAAACCGTCATGCGCACTTGGGCAAACTTCGCACCAAAGGACAAAAACAAAGGGTTGGAAGGCGGACAGCCATATGTACTAGCACGTTTTAAAAATTAAACCACGTTTTCAAAATTTCCTTAAATCCAATATTCCTCGCATCCATCCCAACTGGTTTTATGTCCTGTTTTTGTTGTTTGTGATATTTTTGTTGTTGTGATACAGAGTTACTGCTATCTTAGAGGGCGTCTTTTGTTATTTTTATTCAGTAACAATGGAAGCACAAAAGGTTCACTCATGCATCACAACAAAAGGCATTGCCCTTTAAGATGGCGGCTACGCATAAGGTCTATTCAGCAAATTAGGAAAGTTTCTTGCAAAATTACCTCAGAAGTTGAGGTTAAATAGTCCAAGGTTTAAAGGAAAATTGTTCTTAATCTTTGAACATGATTCAAGACACTTTATTAATGCACTACATTGTATATTGTTACATGTTAATTTATGCAGGAAATGCTTTCTTTTCATAGAAATTCTTACTTTCGTCACACTTTCTGGCTATCTAATTCTGAGAACTGATGAAATGATAGTGAAACTGCAAAATTGTCAAAACGGCTTTCAAGAAAAAAATACCTTGGAACTTCCAAGATGACAAATGTTCAGCAGACAAATGACGAATAAAATAAACAGGGAAGAGGAAATGATGAATTTCTGAAACAGAAACAGAAAAACTGAAGGGAAAAAAACATGATATTACCGAAGATAAACATGCTTCCATTGTAGACAACGGCAGAGTGGTGGTATCGTGGCGCAGGAGGGGTGCCCGTTGTGAAAGCCCTGTCAAAAGAAAACAGGAAAAGAAATTTTGTTTAACCGTTATCTTTTGATTGTACGTGTTATAAAAAAAATACCTTACAGGGAGGGTCCTGTGTATAAATTACTTGTAAAATAAATTTTAAATTGGAATCGATTGTTTACTGGAATTAGAAAAGTTATGAATTTCCAATGAGACATTGAATGAAAAAAGAAATCGATCCACACTAAGTTACCCATTTTTCAATTTAGCTTTTGAATTAGGAGCAGGAGCTCCTCATTCAGCTTAGACTCGACTCAAGTCAGACTGAAGTCAATATCCTCAATACTCACTGCCATCGCAACCTAGCCCTGAATTACACCATACTACTTAAAGGAATAATTGCCTAAATGCTAAAAACTGTTTATTCATTCAAGGACATCATATTCTTTGATAATTTGGGGGGAGGTTTAAAAATAGAAAAATCACAGGAATACTTACTTTAAATGAAGTATTAAGAGTTAAACATGGATCCATTTTCTGGAAAACTTTTTAATTGTGCCATCGCATCGTTTTATCCATTAGGCAAAACAAAAAAGTCTCTGGTTTCTGGTCTGCGTGTGCGTCGCCGTAACCATGCATGTCGGCAAATTTTTAATTTTTTTTCCAATGTAAAGATGATGTCTACAAACCTCCAAACTCACTGGTTTGACTGGAATCCTGCTGCTGCAAAATTTTAACGTGTTTTAGATGGGGTTACGATCGAGAATAAGCTTCATGTGGCCTCTCTGGACTGCCATATATTTGCACTAAATTTAGTCGGGCACCATTTGCAGTCATCAGCCGACATTTGAAGGAAAACAAAAACAAACAAAAAAACGCGTCCCCGCACCACTTTTGGGGCACGCTCCATACCAGAAACCGAAGACTTTGTTTTTGGCCTTATAAAGTCTTAAATATGTTCTAAAAAGGCTTTCATTGACGAATAAACATTTGAAGGTGAACCATAATGTGACCAAATTTATGACAGTTTATCTCTCCACCATTCCTTCCTCCATGATTAGACTGTGTGGGATGATTAACAACTACTCAGCCCCGTAACCTTGGCAACTGTGAAGCAGAGATGATAAAAGGTCGCGACCTCTTAAAGGCCAGACAAAGAGCCAGTACACATGATGAGTGATGGGCACTTACATCTATATATATAAGAGAGAAGTTTACTCGCCCCCGAGACGATGTTTGCTCATAAAAGGATCCGAGACCGCGGGCTCACGCGGCGCCAAAATCGCTCCACGTCCGTGGAAAAATGCGGAGGGGGTCTTCCGCCGGGTCGGACGCTTCGGGTCGTCCTCATTTTCCCGTACGGACCGGCGATCCGTTTCGTCGATTTTTCGTGACTGCTTTTTGCGCAGGAATTTGCCGTCGTGTGCGCTTTCACGTTGACTGCCTGTCCGCCCCCTGTGCTGGCTTTTTCTGCGTGTCTAAGACTGTGCGAGGTCAGCGAGGTCAACGTAGGGATTGCGTTTACGTGTTCTACTTGGCTGTTTAGCAAAAGTGTTCACCAAACGTTAGTATGGGGTGACCTTGGCAAAATATTTTTTGTCCATGGTGCGTGGCCACCAAGTGTCCCTATTCTTTCATATGCTTCGCTTGCCGCCCCTGTGCCGAGTGCAACGAATACTCAGAAGGACTACACATTAGTATGCCTAGCGCGGTCTGAACCAATCGAAAGTCTACACTGCGTGGTACTTCCCGGCTATGCGTAAAACCGTCACTGGCAACGCGTACTGCAGCCTGCTCCACACCCTGGAAACGAGGTTGAGTCTACGGTGCTCGCTATTTGAAGCACAAGCATGTGACGTCGCGTGATAGAGTGCTGTTGCTTCCATAATGTGTTTACAGCTCCATGCTTCCACTATGCTTCCACCAAGGCTGAGCGTTGTGAGTTCGCTGCCCGCCACGTATAATTCAGTGTCGTGTTATAATTTCGGGGGCCTGTTTGGGGTCAACGAAGGATCGATGCATTTACACAAAAATCGACGAAAAAGTGTCCGACCCGGCGGAAGACACCCACATTTTTCCACGGACGTGGAGCCATTTTGGTGTCGCGGGAGACCGCGGTCTCGGATCCTTTCAGGAGCAAACATTCCTCGGAGGCCGAGTAAAACTTGCTCTTATATAGATGGTTGAACCAACTTCAATAAAAGTTACATCGACTTTTTCCTTGCTGACGGTCTCGCAAATTGTAAGAAGTTCAAGTTTACGTTTGTTGAAGAGTCCAATACTGAAACTTAATTATGACCTTCCTCCATGATTCAGACCGTTTGAAATTTTATGGTAACACTCAACATTTTCATTTCATATGACACCTTTACGTTTTATTGCATTATGATTTATTGTCAAAACTGTACAATCAGCCTTCGCCTGTGTACTACGGTAACCTTTTCACTGCATTTTCCAACTGCGACTGCCTCACAAAATGCCAATTTAACAGACCAACGGGAACATTTACAGACAAGTTGCCATGGTACATAATTATCATGTGCGTAAATCGACGGGGATAGGGGGAACCCCCCCCCCCCATTTTAAAGCGGGGGACATTGTTTGGTTCCCCCCCCCCACTTTTTCTTCCCCGAATAAAAATTGTAGCCTACAACAATGATTCTATTGCTCAAAATACATGTAGCTGATTCAATTAATCCAAAGTCATAACTTTAAAAGATGATCTTTTGCTGAAATTGGTTTTAGTGGTCAGAAATTGCCTCAGATCACACCACAGAAATTGCTTTCCTATAACTGCATGTCTCCTTAACTATATCCCCATTTACATTTAACTCCCCAAATTTTCATCCCCAACACTACGCCCTACCCGATCTATGATCGGGTAAATCAGCTTGTTAGTCATATCAGGGTGGTCACAACTAACGAGATGAAAGTGATGATAAAACCTAGTTTACTTCTTGCTTAGGCCCTGCGGGTAAACAAGAAAGCAGCTCCCTTGACTGCTAACAATACACACTTACCTTGAACCTAACACCCTGAATCCTTGTGAAACTTAAATCTTTCAAAGTTTGACAGTACATGTACATTCTTTGTACTAATACTAATACTAAAATTTAGACGTCAAATCTGTGATTAAATCATCCATTAACTTCTTTATAACTGGGTCTAAAAAAATATGACAACTTTTTTTTTTTAGTGACGTTGCAATAAAGGCAGGCACTGCGTACACAAAAAATGTGGTTAAAGTGGTCAGAAATTGCCTCAGATCGCACCACAGAATATCTAGAATTCAAACATTTTTTTAGGGCCCTTAAGCAAGCCCCAAACCCCACACCATATTTTGTTGGACACGCACCCACTTTTGGGGGACCAGCAATTTTGTTGGCCCCCCCCCAAAAAAAATGTGTTCTGAATTTGCCCTTGGTTCACAGATGCTGAATAAACCAAGAAAAAAAATTGCTGTTCTCGTAGTCTGGTTCCCTGTCCCTACTACTGATGAAACAGAGCAATTTATAGACATCAGGGAATTGTCAGGTCAGAGAACCAGACTGGTTGGCTTGCACCCATTCAAGGATGTGTAACCGATGGCAAACAAAATGTAGACTAAGTAAATTTTGTAAACAGGGGGCAGAATTTGGAAAAAATCTGTTTTTCTCCCAACGATGGCCGGCTGACCATCGTTGGAAATTGATACCAATATTCTACTGCTCTTTAAAAAGAAAGCACGACAGGTGTCATTATTTTACAGAATGCTTGAAACCATTATTCACTTACAGTCAAGGAAGGTATTTCATCATATTTTGGTAGTTTTGTATTTTGATGTTTGCAAATGACATACATTACCTTTAATTTTGCATAGTGGAAAAATGCTGGTGTGGAGTTTCACTCAGCGGGGAAACTCGTCACCAATCTTGAAATTTATGAGATTAAATGTTTTGCTCTGGTATACCGATAAGGCACTAGAGAAGAAAAATCAAAGTGCACTGTGTTAGGGGCCTGTACCACATAAGGGTACATCACATGAATCTGATCATTTCAGGCACATATGAACAGGGTAAATATTTCAGGGTAGGCAAAAAAAAGGCCTGGATGGTCCCGCACAAAAGGTGAAGGTCTGCCAAAGATTTGTAGGTCTACTTTAACCAGTCATGGTAATTTGGAGTTGCATTTGCTGGAAGCAACAACCAGTAATTTATAAAATGAAAAAGAGTATGTCCTCCCTATCCAGCACTTGGGAAAGTCATCTGGTGAGTGGAATTATGGGAAAGGCCTCGACCTCAATCACAGCATGGGGGGCAAACTGCTAAGTGCTTCTTGAAGCAATGTATATAACAGTCTTTACGTGTTTAAAGTGTGACCAGAAAGGAAGGGGGGGGGGCAGTAAGGTGGTAATCGCTGGATCTTTGATGACATTGGCATTGGCCTAGGAATGGCCGTGAGTAATAGAGTTGTTTCCTGAAGGGGTAAATCATCTGGGCTATTACGGGGTCAGAGAGGGGGACCACCAGAAGGGACATGGGAAAGGGTCAGGTTAGAAATCCATATTGAGAATGAAACACTTCGGGAAATTTACAGAACTTGACATGATTTTAGATGTACAAAATTTCTTCTTAATGATTATTTTTGCTACACACAAGTAGGTAGAACTAGTAAAAATTAGATAGACCTGTTATTAACGGGTAGACTAATAGTGTTAATTTGTGTAAAAGTTCAGCCAACTACGAAAGTTTGAAGAGACCAGGGAAATGCTTTAACAAAATTTTGGACAAAGCTTGGATTTCCAGATTTTCATTGAAGTGAATGAGGTTTGAAAGACATGAGACTTGTTGACCTGTGGCTTGTGATGAGTTAACAGATTGTAAACTTCTCCCTAGTAAAACAAATAAAAAATAATCCAAAATTCAACCCTCCCCCTCCACCCCCTGGTCTGAGTACACCCACTGTCCAAATTGAACACGACCTCGTGCGCCAGCCAATCGGAGTCGACTCCAGAAATTGTGAAGTCGTTTCGATCAGAAATGCGGACTGAACTCTTGATTGGTCAATTTGGCTGTCATGTTTTTGTAATACAATGGGTTACATTGGACCCGATAGGTTTCGCACAATTAATTAATTGTCAAATCTGCCACCATATCATAGAGTCTTGCTGTGCAAGGGGATATTCCATGGAATACAATATCAAAGGTATAGTCCATCATTTGTAATTTGTGCATTTTGCTCGTTTGAAGCAACAAACATGCTCAAAATCTAAAGAAGGGTGCTGAACAACTAACCTGATGAATGTTCAGCTCAGCTTCAGCTGTATATTTCGAGAAAAACAGCATTCTAGGATCTCGATTTCAAATCAAAAGTTGCTGAATCATGTTTTGAATTGGGCCTGAATTCAGCGTCCGAGACACGTTCTCACTGAGCCGATTGTAGCTACGCGATGTCGCGCACTGATCCGACGAATTATAGCAACTGTGCGCGCGCGTGCGTCGTGTCAACGCTTGCACGGGCCTCGCTGAAAATGAACTACTAACGGAAATTTCCAACGATGCGTCTTAAGACGCACCGTTGGAAAGGCCCTCTTTCGTTGATTTCTTCAAAATGACAGCTTGCCAGAAAGAATAATTTCACAGAGAGTTTAGACCCCTTACTATCTTTCAACCAAGTATGTTTTTCAACAATAATTACATCAGTTACTTTTTGGACAGCTGCCAATGATGGACTGTAGCTTAAAGCAGGGACATTACATTTTAAAAGGTCCCCCCCCCATGCACTTTCAAGTTTCCAACACAAATGCAAAGAGCTTTTGAAGGGTTTTCTTTGCTCAGGTGGACTTTGTTTACACAAGAGGTCACTGAAAATTGAATTCAATTTCCAAAACCAAAGTGCTTTCCATTAAAGTTTCCTCTAGTCAAAATCCATGCCATTAGAGGATGTCATAATTTACTCCTTTACAATTCAAGCTTTTCACAAGTACTTGTTTATTATTTGCACAGTCTCCACGTCAGGTAAACAACTGGCGATTAATATTAACACAAGTGCCAAAACACTCTTTTACAAAAGCAAGGTTTTTGGACAAACTAAGTAAGTGCAGCATAAGGACACAGCTGCTTGAGTGGTTTACTTTAAAAAAAAAAAAAAAAAAAAAAAAAAACCCAGCTGCTTAAATGATTATATTAGGTGGGGTTTGTAACCGTTACGCTGTACAATGTGGTTGTTTGTGTAAGGTCCCCATTTGTAAAGGTCCCCATTAAAGGTTGTACATACATAACATCCATATTTTAGCTAAACTTTGCATTTTCTTTGAAAACTGTTCATACTTCTAAAATGCAAACCAAAATCGTAGCATGAATCGCAGAGAAAATGTGTAATGAAATAACCTTTGACCTTGAATTACGAAAATATGTATATGCTTCAAATTTCATATTTCTTTTTTAGATGTTACTTTATGATGTAAGCAACAATCTTGAAAAAGTTGTTGGTGGGCGCTCTTGAAGTTTTTTAGTTATCATTTTTTGAAGATAGCATGTCCAGGAAAAAAACTAATCTATGAAATGGAGGCCATTCAATGAGCAATGATGTACAACTTGGCCTTGTAGTGGCTATAGTTTTGGGGATACAAGTATTTAAAGTTCAGAGGTCATGCTTATTAGTCAAAAGTTCATTTACTTGTATCTAAAAAACTAAAACGAGCCAAATTACACAAAAATTCAGTTCTGGGGGTTTCTCATATAGGCCACTCATCACACCAAATATCGTTTCAATCTGTGAGGGTCGGGTGAAACATCGTGTTGAATTTACACGGAATGACCCATTTGTTTCTATGAAACAATAGCATTTTCACATTTTTTCCCATAATGAATTATGACCTCAATTGACCCCAATTGACATTACAACTTCAAAACAACACATCAGCAGCCCTAAAACTTTATTCTCAGCAATGTTAGTGAATTTGGTGCATCTTTAAAATGACCTCAAATGACCCCTAGCTGACCTTTGACCTCCAATTTCTGAAGAGTTGTCATGAACCCCCACCCAAGGATTACTCCATCCTAGTAACATTAAAATCCATCAAATTCTGTAAACAAAGAAACATTGAAAAATGACCCGACGCCTACATGACCTTTGACCTCAGTAATCCAATGAAGAATTGTGTCTTCCCACCCAAAGGTCACTGCATCCAAGTTTCATCAAAATCCACGAAAGCATGTAGAAGTTATACATTTTTCTGAAAACTTAACCTAAACTTTGACATGTATACGGGGATATGATACGAGGATACGGTCATACAGAATTTAGGACCGGTAAGTGTCCCCCAAAACTTTGTTTGGGGGACACAAAAAAGCACCGCCTCCTTCATTTTTTTTAAAAGACCGGACTAGAAACTATTTCTTTATTTTACTCAACCTTACCATCGGTTTCTTGCTCAGTGGTGGATGCTTTAATAGTGGACTCAGGAAGGTTCAAAGTGAAAATGACGCAGAAGTTGCTATGTAGGTATAAGTGACAATACAACAAACAAAACAAATGAATCATGAATATTATAATATGTTTACCTTCCCCATGAGCATTCTTTGACATCATAGCGCAATACATCATTCAGCATGTTCTTCCTCCTGTAGTATCAAATTTAAATGGGATGAAAAAGAGCAAATTCTTAATAAATCATTTAAGTTTAAACAAAATCAAAATACATTTTGTAAATGCAATTATTTCTTACTGAAAATCTATTTTGTTATTCTTTTGCTAAAACTAAAGTTTTTTAAAATCCATTTTGACTTACCCATTGTCTCCACCAAACACATAGATTGCATCTTTGTATGCCACTGCAGTATGCTTGCTTCTTCTGCATATACAAAAAAAACCCAGAAAATTATTAATATTGTTACTGAGTACGAGATATTAACAGGCATGCAACTGGAATTTTGTCTGAGGATCAGCCATTCACGTGTGCAGAGCCACGGTCAAACGTCTAATATATACCAACGCCAGCCAATCGGAGTCGACTTTAGAAAGCGTGGCGTCATCTCGATCAGAAATGTGGACTAAGCTGTTGATTGGTCAATTTGGAGGCCATGTTTTTGTAATGCAACAACGGGTTACCGAAGACCCGATATTGTTGATGTACCCTTACGTGGCGCGGCCCCTAACGTGGCGCACTTTGATTTTTCGCCTGTAGCGCCTAGCTATAGAGCAAAAGTTTTAACTGAAATTTCACAGAAAGTGAAATTTCATCAAGTTCTAAACACTCACGTTCATAAATTGCAAGTTTATTTACCCGCTACAAAGTTAAAAGAAAATTTTATTTTGGCGAGATTTTCCGATTTTATTTTCAAGTGCAAAGTGAAACCTTTGAAAATGCCCCGAAAAATAAGAAAATAATTTTCTGACAAACATCTGGCTGGGTATGTAAGTAGAAATAATAATGAATTATCAGAATTTATCAAGTTTACAGAAATTCTTAAATGTTAATTTGGAATTTTCCGAGATTTATTTAAGTGCGCCACTCCGCCAATTTGTGCCCAATTTCCGGACGCCACCGTTTTTGAATTTCAGATTAAATTTTATGAGACCGAAATTGTTCACGGAGGTTAAATAGCATGCATTAATAAGGTAAAAGTACTAGTATTTCCCTGCATGAATTTGAGGTTTGTCAACAAAGAGGTTTGGCAACACTACACGAGGAAAGTTGGGTAAGCTTCGAAGTGCGCCACGTTAGGGAACACGACTATATAGAAGGTGCCCGCTGAATGGTCAGAATCTCGAGGTCAAGACGCAGTCATTATTTGCATATTAATCACGGAATCTGCTCCCATATCATAGACCCTTGCTGTGCAAGGGGGTATTCCATAGACTACTGAGAAGTAGCAAAAAAGGAAGAAATTCCAAGCTATAAAATACTTTACACAGTGGCATAAGTGTGAAGTGAAAAACAAGGAAATCAGCTGATCTGAGTAAAGTTGCATGCCTGTTTTAAGTTTTATATTTTTTTTGACACAAAATGCTTGAATACACATTTGGGATGCTAGCTACTGTGTATTGAGAGTCCTGAAACTTAAGATACACTGTAGTAAAAAAAAAAACCAACAAAACAAAACATGCAAATTACAAGAAAATACAATGATATATAATACAACTAGGTGTGTCCAACAAAACATCTTATACCAAGCTGATCTGGAGTCTGGACATATGAATCTAGTTTTACACTCCAAATTTAAATCATATTTTGGTTTTCTCTCTGATGTTAAAGATTGAAAAAAAGTTTATTATAAAATTTTAGTTAAAACGTAGCATCTCAGCACATCAGCGCTGAGCATGTTGGAAATGATGTCAGTGCTTTGCCATTAAAAAAAATCGGGAATTAATTAACGAAAAACAAAGGTTCATACAATTTTTACAGAAACACAATATTTTGAATTTGACCATGAAGGCCGCATGCTTTCAATAAGCCAAGTCGTGGTTTCGCTCACGCATGTGCCAGCTCGCCATAACAAAAGTCTAAAGATATCATACAAAATACAATCCTTGGGCAAACAGTCCAACAGATGGCTAGCTTTCAGCATCATGTGGGTTTGTTAAACGCAAACTTCTGTTCCACAATTCATTGCTCACATGAACATGAGAAAACTTCAATTTGGCTTTATTCGCACACGCGTTGTCATCGTATTTTCATTTTTTGCTTCATGAACGATTGCTCTGTTGTGTTTGCCGGTGAGTGTTAACTTGATGGTTGATTAAAACAGAAAATATCAGACCTTTAAGTGAAAACCTATCATCCAAGTCAAACGAGTATTCTCAGCTCTAATTCTAAATGGCAAATTTCCCATGTCATGAACCAAGGCTTAGTTAGAGCAGGGTATTTCAAGCTAGTAAAAGTAAAATAACATTTGTAGAAACAAGACAGTGTAAGGATTTTAATTTTTTTAAAGGGATATTTCTTTTTACATGTTTGAGAAAGAATGTTGCACTTGCAACCGGATGCCACTTTTTTCTTCATATAGGGGCCTATCATCTCAATAAAGATCAGTCATTGGCATTGCAAAAATGTCGAAGAGAAATGAACGCAAGGAATCTGGGACTGAAAAACTTCCAATTTTGTTAGGGAATACTCTCCACAGTCATAGACTCTCCAAAGACTTTCCATGAAAGAGGCAAACAGACCATCGCGCGTTCGCACTCGGCTCACAGACCCCCCTCCGTCCCCCCCCCCTCCCGGATTTGTTTATGCGGCCAACTTGCATAGCTTGCTTACCGTGCACCCACAAACTCGTCGCAATCGGGCATCCTCCGCCATCTATGAACCGTCTCAAAAGGACCAGTATCGATAGACACTCCTTGCCATGAATGAATGCTACTTGATCTCCCACTGGCCATGATGCTCAGTCGACACTTACACTGGGAATCAGCGGTTAACTTGACAGAATGGAAAGAAAACTGTTCGTATCGTGGAAAGAAATTCTTCTGTCACACGGAAGCTGCCATATTGGTTGCGCAACTGCGCATGCTTCGATTCTGGCACTAGACTTGTTCAAGTCAGTTATTGCATTCTGAAATCTGTCGCCAGACAGAGAACTTGCTTTGTACATGATGGAGGAATAAGAACTTGACAGAATTATTCCCGGTCCATGCTTCAAAGTGAAAATGACTTTAAGATCATCGTTGTCAGTGACAATATGCTAATTAGTTTACTTACCATTTTAATATCATTGTTGAATTTTAAACATTGCTTTAAGTTATCAGGTTTTGGTCTTTGGAAGGGTGGTGTTGGGTTTGGATGGATTCACTCCCACAGTCGCAAACTAAGGACTCCTCCATGTATAGACGTTTTAGAGCATGAGAGTGAAATTTCTTCAATCGTAAAGATTGAGTTTTCACTCGAGCTTCGACTGCAGATGTTAGTTCAGACTTTTTCAATCGAAAATGAGAGTGATTTTCACTCTAAAACGTCTAGTCCCTAATTTCACTCTTTGAATTTTAGAGAGTATAGCAACTCCTTTGACGCTATAAAAAGTTTGATCATGATTTAGACAACTTTTCATTTTTAAAGTTCGTCATTAAAAAAAGACAACAAATTCTTCATGTTTAAAGGTTTGTCGTGAAAAGGGATAAAAACACTTGTTGAGTGGTTTAGTCAAGTCCGCCTTTCAAAATCTCAAAATCCCAACACTGCGAATCCAAACCCTTGATCCGTCAGCATCGGGAACCGACACCTTTTCGGTTTAATTCATCGAAGTTAATGATGACCGTCTATTTTTTTGGCTTCAGCCCGATGCAAAATTGGCCATTAATCTTCCTGGGTTGTCAACACTAATGTCCTGGGACAACATAATTCGGGTTCGGGACTTGGGAGCACAAAGGCGAGCATTATCCACTGGAAGCTATATGGATCGACAATAAGACGTTTCGCCTGCCGAGGTCAACGGCCCGATGACCCTGCCCCTAGCTTACATCTGTTACATTGCCTCTTCGTGGCGTTTCACCCGCCGTCCGCCGAGGTCGATGCGTCGCCCCAGCAGATCCTACACTACAGTAGGATCTGTCCCTGGGATCCGTGGGTCAACTTGACCCTGCCCCTGGCTTGTCTGTCACATTGCGTACGATCGAGAACTATAGGTTGGCTTTCAAGTTAACTAATGAGCTAGCTGTCAAACTTTCAGGTTTCGTGCAGAAAAAAAATCTATAGAAAGTTGGAAATGGAAGGTCTCTGTCTTTTGGAGCAAGTGAGCAACCATGGAAACCCACATCATTATTTGGTGCAAACAGCCCTACACAGAATACGCTTACATTTTACAAAGTGTAGGCCAACATAGCCTACAACTTTTGCAAGCTCCTCAAACAGTGCTCGCAAGCCAAAGTTTTCCGTCTTATTCAGGGGTATGAAATCTCAGCTTTAAAGCTGATTTCAGCTTTTTTTTGTTTTGGATTTCAGCTTTTTTCCCTCACTTGCCTGTGTACTAAAGTATAGGAGATTTCCAAAGTTCACCTTTTTTACACCTTTTTCAGCTGTTTTCAGCTGTTTTTATCAGTGGTCACTCACACCCCTGCTTATTACTTAAATTTCAGTCATTTCAGAGTCATTTGTGCCCAGTGTTCTCACACTTTTGTCGCCTTCCAGCTCTTTGGCCTGGGTTCGAATCGCGGCTCCTTCAATTGAGTCGCTTCAGTCCAGTGTTCTCACTCAGTTCTTGGTATTGAAGGTTTTAAGTCCCTGCATGCCTGATTGTGTTGGTTTTTCCCTGGATTATCATTTTGGGGTCTTCCTGCAAACTCTAAAACTAACAAGTTCTTTGCTTGAAGTTCGTCGTCTTCTCTCAGTCTCAGTAGGTTTCTCCAAGCTTCCGATGTTGCCCCTGAGCTGCCCCACCCAATGTGCTCTTTAGAGGAATCCTTTATGTGTGGATTGAAAATAGATAACAACCACCCCCCCCCCCCCGAAGCTTATCTTAATAGGGGCGTGACCAAACGAGGGAAGGAGGCAGCAAACGTTCATTAATGTTGCGGATGAGGTCACCTTTCTGTGTTGATTTCTATGGTGGTCTATCTTGTGTTTTGCATTAGAGAGTTGGCAACACCTGCCCTGCAGCCATGATTCTCCAAGTTGGATAAAGGGTTCCGCTCTGCTGGAAACCCAAGATGTCTGGACAAGGACTGAAAACAAAACGTTAACAATCACCTATTTGTCATGCTGTCTTGTCTGTCCATGGAGGCAGGTCTGTCACGTTTCAGGTGAGTCAGTTTAAAGAAAGGTGATTGCGGCTTATTTTGTTAACCTTAGTCGCAAAATGAGCCGAGGGCGCCGGAAAGTTTATACATGGTCAATTATTGTGACTGGGTGTGATAAACTCATGACAAACTTCACTAAAAAATAATATGAGAGCCAGATCATGGAAACCAGATTGATCATGAAGTCTGCACCCTCACCACAAATTTACCCCCACTGTCAATGGACGGTTCCAAACTGTTTCAGCGCATCACCTATGTGATGCACATATACAAGCCGTTCCATAGTTTATAAATAGGGGAATGACTAATCCTGTTACGACCATATCCGCGGTCTGCCGCTTAAATACGGTTGTTGAGTAGCTGGAACGTTGTGTCGGCTCGGATATCTGACTTGGGGTATACCGTGTGTAAATTGTGGCCGATCGTACAGTGTACATTTTGCACATGTACAGGTACAGCGGAGGCCCTTTTCACATTGAATGCAGTGGATCATATTGCAGTGTGTGCCTCTGTCACTAGCACTTGTCACCCAACCATTATAGTTTGGCCCCTGCCCAAACAATGACCCCCATTCTTTGGTTATGACTAGTGCACACCCACACGGGGTAAGCACGTACCCACAACTCACGGTCCTAACCGATGTATCATAAAACATCATGGAAACACTAATAAGCATTCGGCGTACAGCTTGCGGCACATCAATCTTCAGGTAACACTCCACATCATAAATTTATAAAAACGGAGTGAGGTGCGGAAGTGCGGGATTCGGCACACGGCAGCGTGCAGGGACGAGAGAGAGGACGGGTAATATTTGGATTTTAGACGGTGCAGGGAGTGCAGCAAAACACGGTGTGTGTGTGCGAAGCTTTCGTTAAGCCCAAAGTGAAACTGGGGTGTCTTCACAAACTACAGTACATGTTGCCTCTAGTGGTCGTAGTCGAAGGGACATCATGGATGCAACTCATGTACCAAATCAAACCCAACGGACATGGAATATCCAAAACAGACGGGCAATGAATGCTGCATGGACTTGTGTAGTAAGACTGTCTCTGGGACTTGTTTTACTACTCGGACCATACATTACACAAGCTGCACCGACGAGTACGCTTCTACCAGGAGAAGGTGACGCTGGGCCGGAAAACCTCGTTACACCAGGACAGCTGAGGACTGGATTTGTAAGTACTTATCTTGCCAGAAGGGTTTCTTATAAAGGAAATGAATGTGACGCCAACATCTTAAATCTTAACTTGTGGTGCCATAGTGTAAACAACGGTTTTTAAAGAGTTGACTTTTACACCACGGAAGTCAGTTGAGCTTGTATCTCCATGCTTCGACCGTGGCTCTATGTCTAGAGCTTTGAACTTGGATTCTTACCATGGAGGAAGGAAAACAGTTTTCCTTCCTCCATGTTGGAACCCACCACAAGCCAAGTTTGGGCGAGGGGCACAGGAGGTGAGGGGGACCAAATGAAATAATTGCTTTTGTTGGGGGATGTGCAATAATTAACGATGGGCACTTCCTGGAAACTTTAATGGTAGTCCCTCCCGCCCCTCCCCCTCCCCAACCATTGCTATGCCACTTTTATCACTTGTTTATATAGCATGAAGGTGTAGCAACATCTTGGAGGGTTTGGAGCAAAATGTGTAATAAATTTGAGTTGGTGTAATATAACGTCGAGTTTATACTGGGTTTGTAAACTGAAACATTTTGTGATTCTTCGATTGTTTTGGACTTTGATCTTATTAAGCTAAGCATGATAACTGTCATTCTCTCCATAATTCCAAACTAATGAGGGCAGGAGTTCACCTCATGTTGTGAAAATTTTGATTAAACCTTTAACACATGAACATAATTTAAAACACAATTAACTATGTGGTAATTACTCTGTGTGGCATGTACTGCTGTCAAGTTTCTCAAGTTACTCAATGTTCTCATTATTTCATCAAAGGACAATTTAAAAAAGATTAGCATTCCTCGTGTTCCTTTTTCGATCAGTAGTATACCTAGGTAATCGATCATATTAAGAGGCATGCCTCTTAATATCTTCAAGTCTCAAGACTTCAAGTTATACTTTGAAAAAGGAAGTTCAATGAGGCTTTTAATCAACAGGGTTCAACTGAGGTCTGTTACCCTTTTGATAACTTTCTTATCAACTGAGGCAAGAGCGTTACAAGACCGCCCTTGTGTGTTGATGGAAGATAAAGTATGGGTCTACTGAGGAAGAAATCTGTATATGATCTGAAAAAGGAGACTAGATCCCTGTGTAATGATGGATGTCAGTGTCATTTGCTGCAGGCTATAAGTAGGGATACCTCAGCTCCGATCCACGGCAGAAGATAAAACCAAAAAATCTGTACACATTTAGGAAACACGTGGACACCACAACTTTAGCTAATCACAGCATGCAATGGCTGTGTTTTACAAGAACTAATTTCCTCTATCTGACTTGCTTGGTGTCCCGAGCGTGACAAAAGCATGTGCGTCTAATTACACCACTCCACAAGATATCATGACGCATCCGTGCACAGTCTTCATGATGCCGAGAAAGCAGTACCCAGGTGTGTGTATGGAAAGATCTTATTTTACCTCAAATGTCTTCAGGCATTGAACTATCCATGTTTCGGAAGAAACTCTGTCTCCATCCATGGAAATCACTTCGATCAAGAACCAATTTATAGAGGTTCTTGTTTTAGCACTACACGTGCATGACGTGTACAAGTATCCGCTTTCCGTTTGAAAATTTGCCCCACCTTAGCTCAAACAGCAGAATGTGTCTAAACTGGAGCTGGATTACCAACAAAAACTGGCCTTGCAAATGTGAAAGCTTGGTGAAGTAAAACATTTGGGAAAAACAGTGAACGACTGAAATTACATTGATTAAAGGCAGTTTCTATCGTATAGGGTGCAGTTTGCTTGAAATGATTTCCAGAATGTCGTGTACAAAAATGAGTGGACCTGGATATGTTTTGCATGTCCAAATACTCGCTGATTAATTCAGAATCTTTGCCGGAATTTTAATCAAGATGCCCATGCCCGTCGAAGTGCAACCAGTTGTACCTTTCACAGCCTATTTACCGTTGACAGTCAATAACCCTGGCAAAAGTCAAGTGGCTTCGCCTTGTCCACCATAAGATAGCTGATGAATGTACATGTATACATCAGGCCTTACTCAACTTCACATAGAGCTCCTTAGACTAGTACAGGCATTTGCTATAAGCACTGACAATTACAAAGAGAGGTTCCCAGCCGAAAGACATGGTAATTATCAGGCATGTCTTGTGACTTTCCTGTGATGTTTTGCTGAGCAGTATTTCGCTGAGCCTGGTAATTGTTTGCAAAACAATATTTTCCGCAAAGTAGCGCCAAGAGCAGATGTAAAGGTGTGGATTGGGAAGGGATCTGGAGGAGAGCCCCTCGAAACAAAGCTGCTCCTTCCCCTGCCTAGCCTCGTGGATACGCCCTAAGCATTTAGCCCGCAAGTTGAACCTTTAATTTCTCTACGCTGTCGTGCTCGGCATTTATAATGTCAACGCCTAATAGCTCTATCAGGTGCCAGCAGTATCCGACTCAGACCGACAGTGGTACCAACAGGAGTGAGTGTTTTTTTTCTTCTGAAAGCGGGATTTCCTGCGCACTCAGCAGCCCTCCAAAATAGACCCGGTTTACGTTTACGCTCGAGCTGTTTCTAATAACATACTCCATATTTACTAATAAAGCTATCCAAGACAAGCTCCGTTTATAAGGTCAAATACAGGGCTGACTTTATTTAGCAAGGGTTTGGCTTGCCCTTATACTCTACGGTCTGATGACGGGTAATTGAGGATGGAAAGGATGGCACCAAATTGATGGCGCAAACTATTACATTGGACATGTTTTGAAAATGGCCAGAGTAATTTATAATCTTCTTAAATTGAAGACACAATGTGTTAAGAACCGTGACTCATCTGTGAAAATAAGGTTATATATTGCAAGCATCGCAAGCATAGAAATTGGTAAATTGAATAGAAGTAGAAATAGAAGAATAGCACAGAAGTAGAAATTGGCAAATTGAACTATACGTCCCTGAAATTTTTTTTCAACTGAAAGAGATGTTTGTAAACTTCTCCAGTGGATTATGGCCGCCTCTTCCTCGGATTATGGCCGCCTCTTCCTCAGCCACACTAGACACTTACATTTCTCAGTGAACATTCTTCCACTCCTACTACCTCATAAATCTTCTCATTATTGTTTGAGTTGACAAATTTGTCCTTCAACAGTTTCCGAAGTTGAAGCGGCCCCACACTGGTGCGATTGTGTCGCCTTGGTCAGTCTCCCAATAATTTTTTTCCAGGGGTCATTTTTCCAACTTCACCCAGTACCCGAGCGACACCAATTAATAGGTATAGCGACAGTTGTTTCTTGTATGAATATGCTCCATTCATAAACCTTCCTAAATATTTTGACACAATGGAGCCTCTGTGAGTGTGGTTAACGTCCCGGCAATTAGTCAATGTGTCCCCTCCTCCTTCCTGTCCCGGGGCTACCCTGGTTTAAGTCAAGTTGAAGACCTCTCAGATTGGGGTCAACCTACGGTGATAAAAATCCAACAAATCCGTGTACCGGGAAGTATATCAACTCCTTCGGGATCAATTCAGATTGCTGATTTTTTTTTAAGTTGCGTTAAAAGCGCGCTGCGCTGGTGAAACTGACATTAAAAATCTGGTGTTTTTTTTGGGGGGGGGGGGGCTTAGGGTTTGAGGGATAACACATCTTCTTGCGGTTGACCAGCACACTGACTGTGCTGTGCATAGGTGGCGCCAGTTTGTATGTATGCACAATTTGTTTTCCTATGACTGAACACTGGCATATTATGAGTCACAGAGATACCTATTATGTTCCCGTCATACATTTTCACAAACCCATGACATCGTTCAAGGAAAAATACCAACTTCCCTTTTTACAAGTATACGTCTTTAGACGAAGGACCTCTCCACATATATTTTTGTCCCAAGAGCAAACCGGTAACGACATTCATTGAAATGTTTCGAAAATTGAATTTCTTTATGTACATAATCGCTGGTTTCCTGGTCCCAACTATATATAGTCAGGGCGATGTACATGTACACTGCAAAAACTGCGCTGGGTGCCTGTTTATAATCAGTGATCCATGGTGTTTCTGCAGTTTTTATAGAGCAATTACGTTGGTGCCCATCCGGCCGAAACACTGAGCTGTAATAATTTAATCGAAAGGCAGACTTGTGTCTGTGGCTTCAACGATGACTGAGGTGTTTGAATTAAAACAAACCACACACAGTGGTTTGCTGAGTGAGATACCAATTTTACGGCGAGTTACCAACGGATGCTTTGGCCTCGACTCTACACCACAGCATGTGCAGACCATGTACCAGGCGCATCTCTCGCTGAAAGATGACATGTGTTATTTGTTGAGAAGGGGACTCTTGGAATGAAAATGTAGACTACAGACCAATAACAAGGTTTGTGGGATGAAGATTTCCTCTTCAGACATTTTCATGTGACGCACGACATCCTTGTGGAATCTTGGAGATTTTTGCCTCCGGGTTCCCGTAGAGTGTATTTTTAGCTTACGGGCGGAAATACCAGGCCGAGATACGAGCCGCCAGTCGCTTTTCAACTGATCTACCGCAAGATTTAAATCTCGTTATCGTAGGCAAACTTAATATACGGGAGGGTATCAGTGCATTTTTTTTGTTCAGAATATCAGGCTCCTCTCATGACCATTTTTGCAGGGGTTTTTGCAGGGTTAGGCCTAACTAAATATCCTGTAATTTACAAGCGTAAACGCATATTATGCCTACCAAATTGTTTTCTTGTATCAGATTCAGTGCTTCAGATTCAAATTTTCATGATGGAACACCAGCGCTTAGAGAAATAGGGAAACTATTAGTATGAGCAATTGATATTGGATATTGAAGTTTGGGGACCGACATTCAGACATTGTCAGATTACTCATAGTCGGGTAGAATCCTGTGTGACTGTGAGTAGTATACCCTTATTATAATACAATGTATATTTTGCATTCATAATGGCACATTGATATAATGCATACATATTGCATGCATGGCATTGATGCGAGGTATACTACAATGATAACTGCAAACAATTACACTGCAGGATTTTATTCCATGTGTTTTACATCAAATCTGTCACTTTTTTA